TGATGAGACCTTGCCGCCAATCTATAAGGCCGTGGATGTAATACTGTGAGAGAGAAGAAACTGTTAGCATAGAACTTACGGTTACATCTAGCCATTTCAACTGCAAAATGATGAGACCTTGCCGCCAATCTATAAGGCCGTGGATGTAATACCGTGAGAGAGAAGAAACTGTTAGCATAGAACTTACGGTTACATCTAGCCATTTCAACTGTAAAATGATGAGACCTTGCCGCCAATCTATAAGGCCGTGGATGTAATACCGTGAGAGAGAAGAAACTGTTAGCATAGAACTTACGGTTACATCTAGCCATTTCAACTTTAAAATGATGAGACCTTGCCGCCAATCTATAAGGCCGTGGATGTAATACTGTGAGAGAGAAGAAACTGTTAAGATAGAACTTACGGTTACATCTAGCCATTTCAACTTTAAAATGATGAGACCTTGCCGCCAATCTATAAGGCCGTGGATGTAATACCGTGAGAGAGAAGAAACTGTTAGCATAGAACTTACGGTTACATCTAGCCATTTCAACTGCAAAATGATGAGACCTTGCCGCCAATCTATAAGGCCGTGGATGTAATACCGTGAGAGAGAAGAAACTGTTAGCATAGAACTTACGGTTACAACTAGCCATTTCAACTTTAAAATGATGAGACTTTGCCGCCAATCTATAAGGCCGTGGATGTAATACCGTGAGAGAGAAGAAACTGTTAGCATAGAACTTACGGTTACATCTAGCCATTTCAACTGTAAAATGATGAGAACTTGCCGCCAGTCTATAAGGCCGTGGATGTAATACCGTGAGAGAGAAGAAACTGTTAGCATAGAACTTACGGTTACATCTAGCCATTTCAACTGTAAAATGATGAGACCTTCCCGCCAATCTATAAGGCCGTGGATGTAATACCGTGAGAGAGAAGAAACTGTTAGCATAGAACTTATGGTTACATCTAGCCATTTCAACTTTAAAATGATGAGACCTTGCCGCCAATCTATAAGGCCGTGGATGTAATACCGTGAGAGAGAAGAAACTGTTAGCATAGAACTTACGGTTACATCTAGCCATTTCAACTGTAAAATGATGAGACCTTGCCGCCAATCTATAAGGCCGTGGATGTAATACCGTGAGAGAGAAGAAACTGTTAGCATAGAACTTACGGTTACATCTAGCCATTTCAACTTTAAAATGATGAGACCTTGCTGCCAATCTATAAGGCCGTGGATGTAATACCGTGAGAGAGAAGAAACTGTTAGCATAGAACTTACGGTTACATCTAGCCATTTCAACTTTAAAATGATGAGACCTTGGCGCCAATCTTTAAGGCCGTGGATGTAATACTGTGAGAGAGAAGAAACTGTTAGCATAGAACTTACGGTTACATCTAGCCATTTCAACTGCAAAATGATGAGACCTTGCCGCCAATCTATAAGGCCGTGGATGTAATACCGTGAGAGAGAAGAAACTGTTAGCATAGAACTTACGGTTACATCTAGCCATTTCAACTTTAAAATGATGAGACCTTGCCGCCAATCTATAAGGCCGTGGATGTAATACTGTGAGAGAGAAGAAACTGTTAGCATAGAACTTACGGTTACATCTAGCCATTTCAACTTTAAAATGATGAGACCTTGCCGCCAATCTATAAGGCCGTAGATGTAATACCGTGAGAGAGAAGAAACTGTTAGCATAGAACTTACGGTTACATCTAGCCATTTCAACTTTAAAAATGATGAGACCTTGCCGCCAATCTATAAGGCCGTGGATGTAATACCGTGAGAGAGAAGAGAGAAGAAACTGTTACTTTAAAATAGAACTTACGGTTACGGTGAGAGAGAAGAAAACATAGCCATTTCATTTCAACTTTAAATGATGAGACTTTGCCGCCAATCTATAAGGCCGTGGATGTAATACCGTGAGAGAGAAGAAACTGTTAAGATAGAACTTACGGTTACATCTAGCCATTTCAACTTTAAAATGATGAGACCTTGCCGCCAATCTATAAGGCCGTGGATGTAATACCGTGAGAGAGAAGAAACTGTTAGATAGAACTTACGGTTACATCTAGCCATTTCAACTGCAAAATGATGAGACCTTGCCGCCAATCTATAAGGCCGTGGATGTAATACCGTGAGAGAGAAGAAACTGTTAGCATAGAACTTACGGTTACAACTAGCCATTTCAACTTTAAAATGATGAGACCTTGCCGCCAATCTATAAGGCCGTGGATGTAATACCGTGAGAGAGAAGAAACTGTTAGCATAGAACTTACGGTTACATCTAGCCATTTCAACTTTAAAATGATGAGACCTTGCCGCCAATCTATAAGGCCGTGGATGTAATACCGTGAGAGAGAAGAAACTGTTAGCATAGAACTTACGGTTACATCTAGCCATTTCAACTGCAAAATGATGAGACCTTGACGCCAGTCTATAAGGCCGTGGATGTAATACCGTGAGAGAGAAGAAACTGTTAGCATAGAACTTATGGTTACATCAAGCCATTTCAACTTCAAAATGATGAGACCTTGCCGCCAATCTATAAGGCCGTGGATGTAATACCGTGAGAGAGAAGAAACTGTTAGCATAGAACTTACGGTTACATCTAGCCATTTCAACTGCAAAATGATGAGACCTTGCCGCCAATCTATAAGGCCGTGGATGTAATACCGTGAGAGAGAAGAAACTGTTAGCATAGAACTTAAGGTTACATCTAGCCATTTCAACTTTAAAATGATGAGACCTTGCCGCCAATCTATAAGGCCGTGTATGTAATACCGTGAGAGAGAAGAAACTGTTAGCATAGAACTTACGGTTACATCTAGCCATTTCAACTGCAAAATGATGAGACCTTGACGCCAGTCTATAAGGCCGTGGATGTAATACCGTGAGAGAGAAGAAACTGTTAGCATAGAATTTACGGTTACATCTAGCCATTTCAACTGCAAAATGATGAGACCTTGCCGCCAATCTATAAGGCCGTGGATGTAATACCGTGAGAGAGAAGAAACTGTTAGATAGAACTTACGGTTACATCTAGCCATTTCAACTGCAAAATGATGAGACCTTGCCGCCAATCTATAAGGCCGTGGATGTAATACCGTGAGATAGAAGAAACTGTTAGCATAGAACTTACGGTTACATCTAGCCATTTCAACTGCAAAATGATGAGACCTTGCCTCCAGTCTATAAGGCCGTGGATGTAATACCGTGAGAGAGAAGAAACTGTTAGCATAGAACTTACGGTTCCATCTAGCCAATTAAACTTTAAATGATGAGACCTTGCCGCCAATCTATAAGGCCGTGGATGTAATACCGTGAGAGAGAAGAAACTGTTAGCATAGAACTTACGGTTACATCTAGCCATTTCAACTGCAAAATGATGAGACCTTGCCGCCAATCTATAAGGCCGTGGATGTAATACCGTGAGAGAGAAGAAACTGTTAGCATAGAACTTACGGTTACATCTAGCCATTTCAACTTTAAAAATGATGAGACCTTTGCCGCCAATCTATAAGGCCGTGGATGTAATACCGTGAGAGAGAAGAAACTGTTAGCATAGAACTTACGGTTACATCTAGCCATTTCAACTGCAAAATGATGAGACCTTGCCGCCAATCTATAAGGCCGTGGATGTAATACCGTGAGAGAGAAGAAACTGTTAGCATAGAACTTACGGTTACATCTAGCCATTTCAACTGCAAAATGATGAGACCTTGCCGCCAATCTATAAGGCCGTGGATGTAATACTGTTAGAGAGAAGAAACCGTTAGCATAGAACTTACGGTTACATCTAGCCATTTCAATTTTAAAATGATGAGACCTTGCCACCCATCTAGTACTGCGCTTAAATTCATAGAGTCTATGTAACGAAGAGGTAAGATTATGACAACAGTCACAGTGAAAGCTTTTATAGAGAAGGCACGGAGAAGTTACCTTATGGAGATGAGCAAGTGGTTGAAGCCGAGATGCCAAGTCAAAGCCAAGAACATTGCTGAATCTTCTTTGAATTTTTTTCAAGAATCAGATCAGATGTGGCAGTCATATTCAAACCAAGGATGAATAGTAGACAAACTCAAACAAAAACATTGTTTTCAATCGTTATGAGTCTACCGATTGAATAGAATATTATTATAATCAATTGTCTTGTAAATGGAATTTTTAAAGCATTCTGAATGTAAAAATAAAGAAAAAAGCGTGCAAGACAATAAGGAACACTACCTGCCAAAAAATGAACGGTTGAAAAATGTAGGAAATCCGATCCCATATATAAACGAACACACACACACACACACACACACACACACACACACACACACACACACACACACACACACACACACAACCTGGGTTTTCTAAGTATAACTCGATATGAGTTGTCCCCTTTTCATTCTGCCGACAGAATAGTGTTTTATCGTGTTTTCAAATTGATTTCTTACAAAAACAATTGTGTTTTTCCAATTTTTGGCGCTGTCAGAACCACTGCAAGGTAATTTTACGTAGTCCTGTGAAGTTTTGTTGAAATCGGTTGAAAATGTAGGAAATCTGATCCAATATATAAACGTACAGACACGCACACACAAAATCAATCTGTTTTTATAATATATATATATATATATATATATATATATATATATATATATATATATATATATATATATACGAGATAGATTCTGGCGAGAAAAAATGACCAACATGACCCAGTGACCGAAATTTTTTAGCTGCACACCTGGCGACAGATTCAATATAATCTCTCTACTTCATGTCAGCGAGAAACGTTAGCCCGAGAAGGCGCAGTGGATCACTCTGCTGGAGGGTAGCATCAGCCATGCTGATGGAAGGTAAATAGGATTCTCTCGGGCGATTAATAGTGAACAGTTTCGTTTTGGAGGCGTTAACAAGTCCTTCATTGCCCCAGTTAACAACAAAATATAGGACACTTTTGAGATGAGCTGTGAGTTGAACCTTTTTGAACCGTTAAGACTTACTATCAAGTCAAGAATCAATAGAGAGGAAAAGAGTGCGAGAGAGTGAGAAAATGAGAGAGAGAGAGAGAGAGAGAGAGAGAGTAATTGAGAGAGCGAGAAAGTGTGAGTTCGAGAGGGAGAGTAGAGAGAATGAGTGAGCGAGAGTAGAGAGAATGACTGAGGGAGAAAGTGAAAGAGACTGATAGGGAGAAAGAAGAGAGTGAGAAAAAGAGGAGAGTTGAGAGAGTGAGTGATGGAGAGAGTGAGAGAGGGAGTAGGCGATAGAGGAAGAGTGGGAAATATAGTCAATGAAAAGGAGTGAGAGAGTGAGTGAGAGGAACAGTGAGTGAGTACGAGAGAGGAAGAGTATAGAGAGAGTGAGTGAAAAAGCGAGAGCGAGTGTGTGAGAGTAAGGGCGTGAATGAGAGAGTGTGTGAGAATGAAAGAGAGTAAGAGGTGAGGAGGAGGAGGAGGATGAAGTGAGAGAAAGAAAGGCTGAGAGAATGAGCGCGTTCTATTAACATATCCATTTATGGGAAACTTACGTCGATATTTAAAAAAAAGAAGGTTTGTAACGTCAAAAATATAAGAACCTGAGAAAGATAATGTTGTTGCGTGTGTTGTTTGAAATCTAACACGAAAGGAAAAGCTTTTAATATTTCGAGGAATTCAAGTGGAAAGATTGCTTCTTTTTCTTTTATTTGGCGATTGGCTCCATGTACGTTGGCAGAATTATTTTCCTCTCTACTCGTAAAGCCGTCATTTCCTCAATTACCTTTGTCGCCTTGCTGTGAGGTGTAGATAACATAGAATGTACCGGGGCTGGCCCTCATTTAAAAGGTGGTGATGATGACTGGTGTAAGGTCATACTGCGCACCAGCTAACCTTTATGGGTTGCCGGGTATAGGTGAGAAATAAAAAGAGATGATGAGAGATAAAGATAACGAGAGAGCGACGGAGAGAAAAGAGAAAGATAGGGAGAGAGAGAAGAAGAAGAAGAGAGATAACGATGAAGAGAAAGACAATTAGGAGAGAGGCAGAAGGTGAGAGATAGAAACGATGAAAGATAATAGAGAAATATCGATGATGAGAGAGAGAGAGAGAGAGAGAGAGTATTGATTGATTGATTGATTTGTTTTTTTTTACGGCTTATCAACCCTTTTCTGGTTATTTAAAACCCGAATATATCAATTAGCATTGTCGCCTTTGTCAACCTGGGGTGAGGTAGGTAGATAATAGAGAATGTGAACAGACTAAAACAGACAAAGTTAATGGCCCATGATAGATAGATAGATCATTTAGAACGATAATGGTGATGATGTATGGTGTCAAGGACATACGGCACAGCAGGTGTAGATAACACAGAATGTACTGGGACTCACCCCATTTAGAACGTGGTGATGATGTATGGTGTAAGGACATACGGCACAGCAGCCAACCTACCCCACCAGGTTGCCGATACCCGTCAACCTGGGGGAAGATAGATAGATAGATAGATAGATAGATAGATCATGAATAGACTAAAACAAAAATAAATAGACCTGGATAGATAGATAGATAGATAGATAGATAGATAGATAGATAGATAGATAGATAGATAGACGGTGAGCGATAATAGAGAAATATCGATTATTAGAGAGAGAGAGAGAGAGAGAGAGAGAGAGAGAGAGAGAGAGTATTGATTGATTTGCTGGTTATTTAAAACCCGAAAATATTTTTAGATTGTAAGAATTTTGGGTTGTCGGTAGAGTAGAAAGAGTAAGTGAGAGAGATAGATTCAGAGAGAGGGGAATATGTGAGAGAGAGAGAGAAAGAGTGGGAGAGAAGGAGAGCGAAAGCAAGAGGCAGTGAGAAATGAGAGGTTTCTATTAACATGTCCATTTATGGCAAACTTACATCGATTCTTAAAAAGATAATAATGATTTAGAAATACTAGTTTTGCTAATTAACCCATAGCTGGGGGAAAAGGTGGATTCATACCTTTCTAAATGGTATTTGCGCGTAAACGAACCGAACTAAAATTGGAACATCGATTAAAAATTCCGAGCCATCATTCGTTACACCACCCGCACATCCAAGGTTACAGCACCTGGTATTTCCAAGCGGTCACCCATTTAGGTACTGACCAGGCTCGACGTTGCTTAACTTCGGTGATCATACGAAAACCCGTGATTCAACGTGATGTGGCCGTAAGTCGCGAGAGAGATAGATAGAGAAAGAAAGAGAGAGGGAGAGAGAGAGAGAAGGAGGGAGAGAGAGAGAAAGAAAGAGAGAGAGGAGGGAGGGAGAGAGAGAGAGAGAGGCGATATATAAACGGGAGAAAAGAGAGGATATAAAAAGTGAGAGAGAGAGAGACGTGGGGGAGGTGGAAGAAATATAGAAGGCGAGAGAAAAGGAAAGAGTGTGAGAGAGAAAAGAATGATAGGAAAGGTGAGAGAGAAGAGAGAGAGAGAGAAAGAGAGAGAGAGAGAGAGAAAAGGTGAAAAGAGATAGAAATGAAAATATATAACTTGTGAGAGAATGGGCGAGACAAGGGAAACGAGAAAACAGAAAAGGTGGGTGAGATCAAAAAGGTGAACTGTGTACACCAAGGAGGAACGAATCCTAATGTATTTTCCTTACAGTTTCAGATTTCAATTCAACCTGAAGAAGTCGAACGTAACTCACCTCACGGCGCTGAAACGCGTCCTTTAAAAGCTTTTCTACTTTGTCTTACATACAGCCACGCGCACACACACACACATACATACATATATATGGTGGACTCTCCCGTCATATTCGAACCGACAGGCCAGACATCAGCACATATGATTTGATTATAGTGGTGAAGGCTTTGTGCAGAACCAACCACATTTTTTCAAGAGCCGAATACAGAGACCTGGTGTATTACGTGCCACAAGGTCCCCAAAACGACCTTCCGGAGGTTTTGAATTCAGTGTTGTCCTTCTCCTAGACCAGTTACCATCCAAGGTTATAGAACCCAGTCTGTCTTGTTATTTACCCATAACAGGAGGGAGAAGAAAATTCATACCTTTTCCAATGTGTGCGTATATATATGTGTATATATTCGATTTTCCCGTCGAATTCGACGTATGAGGGTCAAGCAGATCAGTTCCCAGGAAACCGACAGCCCGACAACAGCACATGAGATTTGATTATAGTGGTGAAGGTTTCGTGCAGGAGCATCCACACTTTTTGAAGGGCCGAATACAGAGACCTGGTGCACTACGTACCAAACGACGTTCCGCAGGTTTTGAATTCAGAGTTGTCCTTCTCCTAGACCAGTTGCCATCCAAGGCTATAGAACACAGTCTGTTCTGTTATTTACTTATAGCTGGAGGGAGAAGAGGATTAATACCTTTCCCAAGGGTATTAGCACGTAAATGAATGCAATGGAATCGACTGGAATTCGAACTCAGCTCTCCGATTCCTCAATCCAAGCCGCTATCCACTACTTCACCAGTTATAAGTCAATATAGGCACTTTCTAAGGAATTGATGAAGTTTTTGACTTATTAATATGACAGATTTTATTATTTAAACGTCATTTTTTGTGGATACTCATATTTGAGTAGATTTGCATTTATCGGCGACGCACTTCATGAGTCGTCATGAACACATCGAATTTACAACGATTTCTCCTGTCCAGGGGGGCGGTAAGCAGATTGAAAATCCTGCCAGAGAGTGGATATTTTTGTAAGATTTCTCGAATATATAGGCCGGTAGAAAAATAAAAAAGGAATAATTATAGTTTAACAAATAAACGAGGCGTCTACTCAAATATAGTTGAGCTAAATATTATTTGTTTTAGGATATTAAGACATGTTAAAAATCGCTACATAATGGCAATTATGTTTCAACACTACAAATGTGTTTCCTAGGTCGATGTTAAACTATTGTCCGAGCAGACACATTTGTAGTGTTGAAACGTAATTGCCGTTATGTAGCGATTTTTAGCATGTTTTAATATCCGAAAATAAATAAATAAATATATATATATATATATATATATGGGGAAAATAGAAATATATATGTGGGTTGTGACTTTTAATATTCACGGTGTGTGTGTCACGCAAAGTGTTTACACATGCTAATGAGGTGTGTGGGTCCATAAAAAGGTTATAGAGAAATTAGGAAAGATTTCACCCGTGCTTGGTGTACAGGTTAAATTTTCAACGGAAAGAGTTCTGTTTAAGTCATATTTTTTTGCAATTATTACAGCATGGACAGATACCAGAGTTCGACGGCTCCCTGCTGGCCCGTCTGTGGTTTGGGGAAAAAAATAAAATTAAAGCACTGTTATCCCTCGATACTGTGTAAAAGTAAGGGAGACGCATGGAGGAAATAAAAAAGCTCTATAATTATTTACCCCTTTTTGGAGGCAACCGAACGATGATGAAACAGTAGATGTCTTTACGATAAGCACCGTTCGGTGGAGCAAGCGAAAATCCTAGGATTTGAAAACTCCCAGACAATATAAGTCGATTTGAATCGTAAATTGAATTAACGAATTACTGGCCAAGCCCGGAATATAAAGATGATATATATATACCGCCAATATATATATATATATATATATATACATATATATATATATATATGTGTCCAGGAAACGTATATATATATATAGTCTCCCCAGATTGCGCTACCCGAGTGATACGGGCGTGCGTTCGGCTTTTGACAGGTGCACCCAGACCCTTGTGGAAATTACACGTGGGACAAGAAAATATTCCAGTTCTAATGATTAACCTCTTGTTCATCCGCGCAAATCGGCGATGGGCCTGACCATATGCCCTGGTCGTGGACGGAGGGCTGCTCGGCTATGATCTGCTCATATGAATGGACGTCATCAAAAATTGGGTGGTGTTGTTGACGAAGAGGGTCGGGCGCGTTTCACTGAAACAGGTCTAGCTCTAGGTGCAGCAATGGAGCTGGAACGGCCTGACTTTCGTGCGGAGTTCGACCAGCGCACAAAGTGGACGGTATCTTGGAAATGGTCAGACGATCAACCGCCAGAGAAGCTGTACAACAGTGTCGAGTATAAAGATCCCCCGCGAGCTCGTGCGGAGTACGACAAGGAATTGCGAGCCTGGATTAATAACGGTGGTTGGTTTTATTGGGGCCCCCAAAGGGTCTGAGCTAATGGCGGTTCTCCAGCACAACAAACAAAATGGCCGGTGCTCGACTATCGAGAACTGAACGAGCACGTGGACCCTTTACTGCCCGCGCGGACGTGTGTAGAAGCTAAGGGGAATGGCGACAAGCAGGATCAAAATGCTGGATCTTCGCAAGGCATCATGCGTGTGCACCAATCATGGCCCTATCAAACCGTGCTTATCAAGGGCAACGGTATTGCCTGGACCCGCATGGGGTTTGGATTCAATGTGGCGCCATCGATTCAGATGATTGTTGACGCCATTCTAACGAAGGATGAGCGCATACATGAATATCTGCATATATTGATCGTGTACGTGAACGAGGGAGTCGTATCTGCGGCGCGCGTGAAGGAGCATCTCTATCTATCTCAGCAAGGAACCGGAGAGACTATTTATTTGGTTTTTTAACGTCCTGTTCATGATCATATCTTGTGCGGCAAGTTATTGGACACCTTCCTGTAGGTGGCTGGCTGCGTGTTGCGGTGGCGTTTATCATCTGACGTCACCACTGGATGGGATCGAAGTTCACGATCTCAACACCATGATGAAGGAGGTCCTCGCCAGAGTACGCAAGGAAGCCTATTCATTTCTGTGTGTTTTGCAACCGGCGTATCGATAGTTCGATGGAGCCATGAAGATGCTATCTGGTTATCAGAAAGGGACTATCTAGCGGATCTATCATATCAACTGGCGATCCTCATGTCTGTTTGATTCCGCTTGCGTTTATTCTCTGTTTGACCGGGAGGGCCAGGGTGCGGACTAAAGCCACCAGCGAGATGCTTCTATCTATCTATGAATTTAGTGCAAGATCGCATGACAATGGATGGTCAAATCTAGCCTCAACAAAGCAGATTGTTTAACGATCTATCTTACGCCGCTAAGAAAGCCATTGAGCCTGTGCCTGCGTCCGTGAGTCCCGTTCGATTTTTAATCAAAGCAGTCCACCAACAAAGTGGGCACCCTGGAGTCAAGCGGACATGTATTTCGCCATTGACCCAGGATCAGACGTCTATCTATCTATCCATCTCATAGACATCTATCGCTGGAAGAAAGGGCCTGATTGATGGAGCCGGCTGGCGATGTTTTAGCATTTCCTGTTCATTGATTGTGGTCCATCCAGGTTTGCGATATGGCGATGCGTCGGCAAGATGCAGCCACTATCATCCGTCAGTTAAACAGCATCTTTCTTGAATCTAACGGAGATATCTACCGACAATGGCACCGCATTCACCAGCGAGCAGTTCGAGAATTGCACTTACGGTTTTTAGTCTGTTCATCGAGCGGAACCACAGGACCGTCAAGACCATCGCAGCCAGGACAGGCTACGGTGTCTGAGGCGGTCTATTATACAATCCCCGAAGGATGATCATCCACGGCGCCAGCAGACTACCACGCCAGAGTGAAGGGCATAGAAACCAACCCACTGGACGGAATTTAACCGGGAGAGGCTGAAGAAAGCGATGTCGTCTGGATTGTTTTAGTACGGAATCGGACGCGTCATGAGGTGATCAGCCCACAGGCTATACTATCGACGGTGTGCATCTAGGACCTATCCGTATCTACCATGGACGATGAGAGCGAATCGAATGACCAGTGATTCATTTGGTTCACGCCAGTTTTCGGAGTCTGTTCATGTTCGACCCTCAGACCCTCAGACAGGATCTATCGATGAGGCTATCTTCGAAGAATACCTGGCGCAAGCGATCACATCTATCTATATCATGAGATCTATCTATCTGGGGAAAATAGAAACGGGCCTATCGCAAATTTCTTTTTGGCCTGTGGGTTGAGAAAGGAAAGAAAAGATTCAAAATGGCGTCGTATAATATTCATCTATCAGTCACGCAAATTACACACATCTAATGAGGTGTGTCTATCATATCTTGCTTGGAGACATTGGCAGACCAACATTTATTGCTTTTTTTAGTCTGTTGCAGACATTTTCAGACGGAAAGAGTTCGTCCCATTACACTGTTTTCTATCATATTTACAATATATATATATATATATATATATATATATATATATGTGTGTGTGTGTGTGTGTGTGTGTGTGTGTGTGTGTGTGTGTGTGTGTGTGTATGTATGTGTGAAAATATATAGAAAATAGGAAAGAACTCGTTAGGTAAATAATCCAAAGTTCTTTAGTATTTTTGTTATCATTTTTAAAAATAGTGCTCGATCAAAAGTAGAGCATAAATATAATTATTTATTTAAAAATATGATTCAACATCTACATAAGAGTTCTCATGTTTCAAAACAAGGCGAAAACTTCAATATAATTATTTGAATTAAATTTTTAGTCGAATTGTTAGTAATTAAGTATTATATATATATATATATATATATATATATATATATATAGTCTATTGTTCTGGCATATGCGTATTCTTTTGACGTCTGGAAATTACCCAGATATATTTAATGATTATTTCCAAAGAGTGACCATATGTCCTTTCAAAGTATATTCGCCGTTCCTGCATATGTTACCCCACAAACATTTGGTCTGATGTTGGCATCGCCCGGAAACACGATATCTCCCATCTTATCTCTGTATCGCTGGTCGGGCCTCAGATGGTCGCCAATGGCTTGTCTCGCGCTGTGTCCAGACAAATCCTCAAATAATTGAATTTATTCAGCAATTCAGATCCTAACACCAGATGGACATGGGATTGATTAGTCCATCTGTTGACACAGAAGAGTTTGAGTCTTCGTGAACGCTACCGAATTCTCTTATCTATCTATCTATCTATCTATCTATCTATCTATCTATCTATCTATCTATCTATCTATCTTGGCTTATTTATTTCTGTTTTAGTCTTTTCATGATCTATCTATCTATCTATCTATCTATCTATCTATCTATCTATCTAGGGCTGTTCATATCTATCTATATCTATCTATCTATCTATCTATCTATCTATCTATCTATCTGGGCCTATTTATTTCTGTTTTAGTCTGTTCATGATCTATCTATCTATCTATCTATCTATCTATCTATCTATCTATCTATCTAGACCTATTCATTTCGTTTTAGTCTGTTCATTATCTATCTATCTATCTATCTATCTATCTATCTATCTATCTGTGCCTATTTATTTCTTTTTTAGTCTGTTCATGATCTATCTATCTATCTATCTATCTATCTATCTATCTATCTATCTATCTATCTATCTATGCCTATTCATTTCTGTTTTAGTCTGTTCATGTTCCATCTATCTATCTATCTATCTTCCCTCAGGTTGCCGGTTATAGGCAATCTGGGGGTAAAGGTTGGCTGGTGCGCAGTATGACCTTACACCAGTCATCATCACCTCCTTTTAAATGAGGGCCAGCCCCGGTACATTCTGTGTTATCTACACCTCACAGCAAGGCGACAAAGGTAATTGAGGAAATGACGGCTTTACGAGTAGAGAGGAAAATAATTCTGCCAACGTACATGGAGTCAATCGCCAAAGAAACAGCAACCTTTCCACTTGAATTCCTATCTATCTATCTATCTATCTATCTATCTATCTATCTATCTATCTATCTATCCTGTTGTTCTGAAGACAGTTACGTGGTCGCTAAAGAGCGTTGTGCCGAAAAGGACAGTTTCGTGGTCGCTGGAGCGTGTTTTTTCTGAAGAGGACAGTTTGTTGTATATCATTGGTGCTGGCGAGGATGGCTGGGGAAGGAAGAAGAAAGCCTGGGGCGACAGGGGCCGGATACCAACTGCGCTGGAGCGACGGCCGAAGGCAAGCTGGAGCCTGGAACCGTGGTCTGACTGTTGGCTGCAGCTGCTGCTAAAACATATACTATACTTTGATCCTCGTCATCTTCACAGCGGAAGGCATGTTTTTTTTTGTTGTCGTTGAGGACGCTTTATATCCTGAATCAGTCTTAAGTTTTTTTCTTGCATTTGCTTTTAAAAGATGTTTATCTGTCTCGCGCTAATACTTTCATTCTATTTTAGTCTGTTCATGATCTATCTATCTATCTATCTATCTATCTATCTATCTATCTATCTATCTATCAGCCTGTTCGTATCTATCTATCTATCTATCTATCTATCTATCTATCTATCTATCTATCTATCTATGTCCTGGGTAAGACGCTAAACTACATCCAACAGCAAGGCCTCTAATCGGGAGGTTTTGAGGAGCGTGGAGCCACCTCTTAATTGCTTGTGTTCCCAGGTCCACCCTGACCCGGGGTGGTAGCACCTGTAAGGGGCTCCAAGCTATGGGCAAATAGTTAACCTTCAAACTGGTGTCAAATCACTATGAAAGTATAAAAATCTGTTTTAATACCGTCAGTACATTTCTGAAAAAAAATATTACCAGCAATAAAAATTTTGTCGACATTAAATAATCCATTGAGATTGATACCGTAAAACGAATCAAAACCAATCTATCTATCTATCTATCTATCTATCTATCTATCTATCTATCTATCTATCTATCTATCGCTCACTAACTTCGTTCTATTTTAGTTTGTTCATATCTATCTATCTATCTATCTATCTATCTATCTATCTATCTATCACTAATCTATTTTTATTGTTTATATCTATCTATCTATCTATCGATTTCATTAACGATTTCATTAACCATATAGGCGTTAGGCTAAAGTAAAATCTAAAAAAGAGAAAACTAGTTAGATATAAAAGAAAATAAATAAATAAATAAAAACAGAAATTTAATCCAATGCTTCCGACTCGCGAGCGAATATATTCTATGATCAGCCATATCCTTTTTTTTCTTTTTCCAAATTCTTTCTTCTTTCTCTCTCTTCCACCCACAAGCCAAGGGCCCGTGAACTTCGAAGTGACCTGACGCGAGAGTGACCTGGTTCCAAGATTTCGCGTTTGACCATGAGTGAATTCCAGGCACCATCAGG